AGTATGGTGGATGCGACAGAATTTCCCAGCCTAGCTCTGCGATTTTCTGACGAGTCGCCAAAGCAGCATGTGGTCTGGCATTATCATCGGTAGCCATGTTTTCACGATCGCGTCTCACTTAATAATGACATGAGACATCTTTGTTTCAGTTTATTTAGGAGAGTACATGTGTATAAATGCAATGATAAAGAGAGATAGTCATATATGTCTCAAATCAATATGTGCATATGGATTGAAACCTGAAGTGACACTATCGGACAGAATTTTCCGGTAGACCTAATACATGTTACATAGAAAATTAGGGCGGAATATCAACTATTTTGTTAGGAGAAGCTCTATTACATTCAGCTTCAAGTTAACATATTTCAGAAACGGAACAAAATATCCTGAGAGTGAAATAGGTTCTAATTTTTGTTGTTTGTTATATTATAAGAACCTGAAAAGTTTTTATGCTTCGAATTGCAACGAACTATTTCATACGCTTTTTTAGGCTGCAAAATGCAGCTGAATGGTAACTAGACCGCGGATTTTATGCATTTATGGCAAGCACGTGTAGCTGAAATATGAAACTGTGAAGACATACGAAGAAACATAATTAATAATAATACTCTGTATTAATTAATAATACTGTTACACAGTTTTCAATTTATCGAAATTATTAAAGGAAACAATTTATTTTTATTCAAACTGTATTTCTCACAAGCGAGTTGGAAATTTGTATTTTGCATAATCCGCTGTCGATAAAAACGAAAATCCCTTACGAAATACTGCTATGTCATTAAAAATACCGTTATTTCATTAAAAACACTGTTATTTTTTTTACAGAAAATATATAAGATTGGCGATAGATGCAAACAATCAGCCTCCGAGAAATAATTATAAAAATGATGTAAATTTAGACCATACATACCTTTATAAATTTTCATTACCTAGTCTTCATAATGTTCTATTTTATCACAGAACTGTCCAAATGGACTAATTATTTTAGATTTTAAAGCTTTGACGAGTTGTAAACCCATTAAAAGGAAATAATTGTTTAAAATATGAAAGTTGACTTTTGTCCATGGATCGCTGCTCCGCCAGACCACTGTGCGACGGTCTGCGGGTCGGGTTTCGGATGTTTTACGCCGGCTCGTCGCGTTAATTTCGCTTAACGAAGAAACGCGGTCCGTCGAGACGGACGCTCGTTGGCGCTAAGCTCGAGGACCGCCACGTTAACGAGGGCAAATCCCACCGCGGAAACGAGAACGAAAGTAATAAAGTCATTGCCTGTGTAATTAAGGACGCGGTGCTGCGATCTTGAAACGAAGAAAATTTATTGACGCCTCTACAGACGCGTGGTCGTGAAAATTAGAGGGTTACTGAATTTTCGTCTAAAACTTCTGCATGTTCGATTTTACGAAGTTCCCGAAGAAGATAAGGATTTTCGCTTCTGCTACGCGCGATAAGAAAATTCTCTGGCCAGAAATGATTGAAGACTGGGAAAGTAGAGATTATACGCTTTAAAACGAGCCCAGATGGGGTGCTGTACGATTTTTTATTAGAAAGTTAGAATAGATTCAATATCGACGATGTTTCATTAAATATTTAAGGATTCTTGAACTTTGCACGTCGATGAGGTTTTCGTCGTTTGAATACTTCATGCGCTCTTGTGAACTATTCAGGAACATTTTATTCGATTTGCATTGAAACGTTTATGAATACGGTATAACCCTTATCCGTCGTTCGTGACAATTTGTCACAGTTATCACGGATACTGAAGAAATAATCTGTTCTATAAATCAAGTTAAAGAACTTGTCTCATCTTGCATTAG